CGACCTCCTCCGGCGGATCCTACGGCCGGCCTGTGGTTTGTTTTGGGTTTCATTCTCCGCCGTTCTTTTTTTTTGTGTTTTTGTAGTATTTTTACATTCGGGCCGCAGGCCGTTGTAGTTGTCAGCATCAGTAGAACATCCACGTACCCGTTGTATTCGGCTTACTTGCCGTACTTGCCGTTGTTGCCATTGTTATTTCTGTTGTGCAGGAAATTGTTGTATGCAAACATTAAATTTTCAATAGGTCAATTTCGGTTCAGCGCCCTCGGGTTCAAAATATTTTTGCAAAGCACATTCAATTCGATGATGTTCACTGTGTTTTTTGTGTGCCGTCCATTTCACAGTTTGTCGCTTAGGATTTTCTCCTCTTTTTTTTGCGTGGCTTTCGTCCTTAAATTGAGGTTATCAAACAGATTTTCGCACTTCTGGCCATTTGAATGAATTGATTTGGAGAAAAACCAACATGGAAATCGAATCAAAAAATGCTTGTGCAAATATCGAAATAATTGCCATTGACTTTGATGGACATTTATGTACCTGGACGCACGTGCAAAAGCACCATCGGTGTGTGTATGTTGATTTGCGGTTTTGGTTCTCCCTTAGGATTTTCCGTAAATAGTTTTTTGGCTTTCGTCGGATGGCAAAAAGTTATTATTTCTGCATGAGTCTGACAGGCTCTTTTGTTTTTTTGCTGACCGAAAATAATATTGTTGCATTTTTAGCCTGGCTGGGATTAACACGAAAGCCTTTTGCCATATTAAATATTTAGAAAATACTTGCAGAGAAATACACTCCTGCTGGCATGTGTCTTTGCCTTTACTTAAGTGGAATTAAGATAAAAGATTATCCCCATAGTTCCATAGTTCTGGCAGAATTAAATTAAAGAGAATCTGGTATAAATTCCATCACATCGTTTAATCGCATTTGCTTTTTATATGTGGTTATTAATATGGCACCATAACATGAAAAGCCTTGGGCGGTAAAGTGTTTTTAATTGAATTGCGTTTATGGAAAGATTTATGACAATTTCGAAAATGAATTTGATCCGGCTTAAAGTCATTAAAAACATATATATATTCAGTTATGACAAGCTTAATTTGCAAAACTAATTTACGGCATTGGATTTTAATTGGATAATCACGGATTCTTGGCACAAATTCCGGCCAAAAACAATGAGCCATTCGAGTAGCACTTGAAACTTTTGTCAAAACATTGTGCAAGATTTCAGCAAGAAGTCTTAATTCCCCGCGAACAGCTAGAAGTAAATTATAATCTGCGTAAAACAATTTAAGCAGTCTGGCAAGAATGTCATCCCCAGACAGTCATCTTCGTTTCGGACGGAACTTTTGCTGCAAATTAGATCGTTGTCCAAATTCGATTGTTTCACTTGCTGCCGGCTTTTCCGAGCTACCCCACTGCATTTTCCAAGAGAGAGAGAGAGAGCCAGTGCATTCGGTGTCCGAGGAAAGTTTGTGTGCACAGTTCTAATTAGCACGCTAAAGATATTCAACACTCAACGTAATTAAATGGAATTTTAAGCGATGCATTGCAGCCGCTCGCCAGTTTCCAGTTGCCAGTTGCCAGTTGCTAGTTGCCAGTTGGTCCAAAGAGCCTTTAATTACTGGCTCCCAGCATCAGTGTTCCTTGTGCTGCTCCTGCAGATAGCAGCTTGGATGCAGATGCGGATGCTGCGGCAGATGCCGATGCGAATATGGAGGATGGAGCCAACTTTTCGGGGGGCGGCTGCGGGGCTGAGTGCAAAAACTTGGCCGCACAAATTAATCATAACTTTGGAGGCTGCCACTGCTGCAGGAGAGCAGTGCCTTCATCTTGGACAAAATGTTGCCATGCCCGCCCATTAAATGTGGGTTAGCAGTGAGTGTACACACACTCCCAGTCTCAGGCTCAATTCCTAGCCCAGTGCCAGTCCAAGTTGCAGAACCATCTCCATCTCCCGCCCCCTCACATTGCATTTGCGTGCTGCAATTTTCTGTGCGTCGGCGTTGCCGGCTGTCCAATAAATTTCAGCTGTGCTGTGGCATTTATCAAAATGGCAAAAACTTTGCGAACGGCTGCAGCTGCGCAGTGGCACGAGACAAGACATTCTCCCTGCCGCTGGCATCTCAAGTTTTCCTGTTTGTTTTACCCAAATTGCCTGCCCAAAACTTTACACTCAGTGCTGGAAGCGTGCCATGAGTATCCTTTGGAATGTTTCCTCAACATTATTTACTTGATAAATATATGCATAAAAGCAGCTTAAAATCTCATTATTAAAAAGTACACTCTTCAAGAAAGGGAGATTGATTAAACAAATAAGAAACTAAATGGAAAATATGTATAAATCAAGAAAGATGGTTGGGTTGCATTTGATGTATTTTATAAATAAAGGTTTCAGAGTTTCTGCTGATATGTATTTTGTATATATTTTATTTTTAGTTCTCCTCACGTGCGCATCCCTTGTGGCAAGTACTCAAAGTCGACCAAGTCTGCTGCTGAATGTTGATAAGCAATAAGAAGCGGGACAACGACCGAGACAACTACACTTGCATCACACAGCAACTCCGAAGAGGCGGCAACTTTCCTGCCAGGCAGGCCGAGTTGACAATTCAAGGAAAAGGAAAGAGGAACTGCATTTTAGTGGAGTGGTCGGACACACCTTTCAGCTTAAGCTCGGTTTGTTGTAATGGCTTTCCATCTAGGACACAAGGAGACAGCAGCAGCAGCAGCAGCAGCAGCAGTGTCTTTTATTGTTTTATGGTCGTCAGCTTGTTTGGCTTGCCGAGATTGTCAATGTCCATCTGGTTGTGGGAAGTTGTTGTGAAATATGTTCCAGGGAATGTAATAACTGCTTAATGGGGCCCATCCACAGTAGAACATGTTGGCCGAGCCGCTCGTCGAGCAAAAATTTGATTTGCCACCAACTAGTGGCAACATGCTCGCAAACATCATTTGCTGGAAAATCTTTGAGAAGCAAACATGGCAACGGACAACGACAGCGCCACTTTTTTTGCACTTTAATTGCACTTTTGGCAATTAATGTTTGCGCCTTTGGCTGGAAAATAAAGTTTTCAATTAAAATAAATAAATTTTGTTGACATCTTAGAGCTGCTCTATTAGGTGTTGTCGCTTCAAACGTTTGCTTCAAATGATGTTCGTGCCAACGTTGCCATCCATTGTCGAGCATGTTGTTGCGAACACAAGCAAGATAGAATGATTTCTATTTTGTTCGAGCGGCTCGACGAACACGAAATTTGTACGCGAGCACTAGCACTAACGATGAAAATTTCGTCGAGCTCAACATGCTCGGCCAACATGTTCGACTGTGGATGGGCCCCATTAATAGCGGAGTCGATTTATCTATGCCTAACAACATTTTGCAATATAAAAGCTGCCATATAAACAATAGTTAAATGCAGAGAAAAATGCCTCTATCTCTCTCCCTCTCTCTTGCTTTCTCTTGTGTCTATTTCAGTATGATTACTTTTCTCTGTGCATCTCTAGAGACATCTCTTGTTCTCTTTCTCCCTCGCTCTCCCTTTCTCTATTCTCTTTACTGGGACACTATAAATACAGGCACTGCTGGTGCTCGGGCCTCAGTCTGTCCGCGGCCTCCCCGTTGTTTACATCTATGGTGATAGTGATAAAGATAACCTTTCGACCCCCGAAAATATCACCTGGCTAATGCAACATATCTGGTTAATTAGGAAGAAGCTTCTTCGATGATACCGTGAGAAGCCTAATTGGAGTTACCAAGAATAAAAGCCTACACTGGAAGGAATAAATCATTGACAAATCAGAATATCCGTGTCCTCTACTGCTTTAAGTCTTAATCGGTAACGAATTTTTGGCATAGTTGCAGGGTATTATAGTTTCAATCAAAAGATTGTAACGATGTGAAAGAGTCATTTCCGACCCTATAAATCATATATATTCTTGATCAGCGTCGACAGCCCAGTCGTTCTAGCCATGTCCGGTCAAGAAATACATTTTTGACATTTTTCCGAAAATTGAAAATTTTATAAGGGGTTACATCATTAAAATTGTCAAAATTTTACAAAAATTGAATTTTTAATATTTTAAAAATAAATATGCAGAATTGTTAACCCTGCAAAAATTAGCACAGAAAATCTTTCCGAATCGAAATTAATGCATTTTTGGCTTTGTTATGGATTTTTTCATTTATGATTTTAGCCTAAAAACTATCTTAAATGCTCATATTTTTTAGGTCTGGGTAATACTTATTCGAAGACCATTAAGCAAATAACAGTTTTATATATTTCGATTTCCAATTGAAATTGTAATACTTCAAAACTAAAATATAAGGAAACATATTTAATAACAAAGCTTACTGAATATTACAAAGGGGTTTACATTTTTAAAATAACCAAGAATTTGAAAACGTTTTTTAATTTATTAACCTTCATATGCTGCTTTGTCATATAATAAGATCCAACAGAGAAAATAATATTAAAACTTATTATTTACACTGTTCTCACCTTCATACTGTTTACACAGGAAGTTGCATACTGTTCCCACAAGCTAAGAAAGAGATAGTTATATGAACCAAGTGAGTTTTATGGCAAGCAGCTTTAAATATGGCGCTAGCCTTCAAAGCTTTACCAACTTTTGGCACTAAAGCAAGCAGTTTCCTATTTTCATAGCAGTTACCTTATGCTTACAGCTAAAAACGGTTTAAATTTTGAATAGAATTTCTCGTTTCCTCAGTTGAATATTGGCTTCTAACCAAAGTTCTTTTAGATTGCAATTATAAAAAGAAAACACTCTTCAGTCATTTAATGCATTTAATTTTAAAGTTTTTCATCTTTGTTTTATTGACAACTTAAGAGAAGCAATTCACATTTTGCCGGCGTACATAAATACAGAGAGTTTTTTAAATAAATAATATAAATAGCTAACGTCTAGGTGGAAGTCATAAATTAATTTAAATTAGTTTAGAGAGAGTCCAGCGGGCGATGGCTGGGTGGCCAGGAGGCCAGGACCTAGACCTCGTTGCACTCCAGATACAGCTGGCGACAGTCGAAGCCGGAGCGACCCCTGCGTCCAGCGTCATACAGTTCCTCGAAGCTGCTGCCGCTGCTGCGGCCCAGCACGTAGCTGGTGGCATAGCTAAGGAAAATATATAGTATTTAGTATTTAAGAAGCTCCTCTTTTCTTAGGTTTCTCTATAGTTTTGGTACTCACGATCCCAGCTGACAGAAGATGCTGCTGCCGCCAATCTCGCGAACGCACTCCGTGTTGGCATCGCACATGTATCGCTGCGTGCACTTGTCCTGGTTCTGGTCCGCCTCCGAGTTGCGATAGGTGCGCACATAGCCCTTCATCAGGGAGATGCCAGCCACGACGGCGTCACTCACCGAATCCCTCTTGCCCAGGGAGCGGGCTGTCAGGGAGCGGTGCGAGAAGGAAGTCTTCAGGGCGTCCAGGAGGTTCATCACGATCTGTATGAACTGTGGATGCGGAAGGGGTAGTAGCGATGTTCAGTGGCGTGGAGTGTGTGTATGGAGAGTGTGTGTGGTGTGTGCGAAGGTAGAGGAAGCATTAGTTAATTAGTCTTGCATTTGCTTGTGCCAATACAGAGGAGTGTGTGTGTGTATGAGTTTGTGTGTTGTGTGTGTGTGTGGTGTGCATTGGAACAATTTACACTCTCAGCACTAAGCAACAAGATTTGGGCATTACCATGACATTATTTAAAATATATATAAACTAAATAACTAATTCAACTTTTAAATTCGACCAAACATCCAATTAAATCTAATAAAATTAGTAAAATGTGTGTAATTAAGCTTCTAAAATACGTCAAGCAGATCATAAGATATATCAAAATAAGCTGTAATTTAAATATATTTATAGCTATAATAATATTTCAATCAGGAACTAACACCTTCACAGCTGAATCATCTTTAAAAATTATCTATAACTTTGATGTTCCCAAAACTATGTTTCAATTTTCTTTTAAATAATTGAAATTATTAAAGGCCCTGTTATAGTTCTTAACATTAACTTTGAAAAGTCTAAATGCTTTTAAGTTCACTCTTGAAATTTTAAATTTAAGTTAATGACTTTTAAAAGTTCAAGTTATCACAGAAATTATTCAAATTTTAACCCTCTAGCATATAGAAATCTCCCTCTTGAACTTGAATCCAAATCTTGTTGCTCGGTATTGGTTCTTTTGTGTGGTTTGTGAAAGCAATAAAGATGTTTTACCTCGCCAGCTTGCTTGGCCATCGAGTTGACTTGATCGGGGTCTCTGGAGCCTAAAACGGCCGACATCACAGCCACCAATATGCCCTGTGCGATTATTAGCGAGGTAGAGGTAGAGGAGGTAGGCGGGAAGCAAACATAATCGAGAGAATAACAAGAGCCAGGCACCAGAATCGTAATCAGTATCGGAATCAGTATCAGTATATAAAGGCATAAGATGTATAAGATATAAAACAGAACGAAACGAAACGAAACGAAACGAAAACGGTAACGATCGAACGCAGCAAATTACGATAAAAGCAAAACAAAAGTGGCACAAAAGCAATCAGTGAGTGTACACCTGTTAGGGGCTAATGGATCGATCGATTACCTGCATGGGAGATCCACCGTTGTCGACCTTATCGATGCCATCGCTAGGTGCTCCGCCGCCCAGCAAGGTGTTGATGATGCGAAGACCTGTAAAGTAACAGAAGTGGTTATATTATGGGAACAGCATTAAAGTCAGGGGGGTATCTTCATTTTCCTCATAAATTTTCCCTTATTACACATAATTTTCAATTCAAATTAGAGAGGGAAAGACACTCACCCATAGAGATGACATTGGCCCAGGGACTGCCGCCCAAACCGATCGAGTTATCCACATCCTCGGACTTGGTGGGCGCCTGATTCATGGCTCCGTTGAAGAACATGGTCATCACGGTGGACAGCATGTTGGACCAAGTGAAGCCACCGGGTCCACCCACAGTCTCCTGAATCTGGTTGCTCTCGAGGTCATCCTCGATATCGTCCAAGGCCACCTTTTTGGAGGCATTCGGCTTCACGGCGAACTTGCGACCCTGGGCAGCCAAACCCTCATTCCGTTGGACTGGTGACTGAGTCACCTGATGCTGTCGCTGGTAGACCTCCTGCTGCGGGAAGGCAAAGGTCATCAGGAGGCAGTTGCTGGCCACGATGGACAGCAGCAGGCAGGCGTGCACTTTCCGTTGGTTCCACATGTTGACTGAAACGAAGAGAGATGTGGGATTAGGAGCTGATTGACATTCAGCCGGGCAATGCCCGAGGTGGTTCGCATAACAACACTTTCACATTGCCCAACTGTGAGTGGGGCACGAAGCAGCACGGGTCAGGAATGGGAATTAGCATTGGCCTATTTGAGCGGGGCACGCTTGGCCCAATTTCAATTGGACATAACACATGTCATTAGAGCCACTATTTCGGCATCGACCCCACTTCAAGCTCAACACAATTTATGGTTTTAATAATTGATTATTGATAAGGAAACATAGGAGAAAATTACATATTTCAGTTAGGGAATACTACCCGATTTCCAAGTCCATAAAGTTTTCTTACTTCTCTTTTAATTTTCTTTATTATTTGTCTTCTCTCTAACATTCTTTTACCACATTTTTCCCCCAATTTCAATTACTTTTGTATGCAAATATAAGTATTATCTCTTCCAGCACTCAAGTCTCTCCCTAGTACTGCTTCCCAACTGTCACCCAGCGGGGTTTTCCAAATCATAGTCAAAAATTTTCCCATTATATGTATGTATATGTTACAATTTCCATGGAAACCAGATAAGAAAGTTGTAGCGGCGCGTAATTAAAGCCAAAGCGTCTTCAGTTGCTTCCGAAACATCCAGAAACGGGTATAACTGCTCCCAATTAAGGTGTCGGTCAAAGCGAACCTGTTCCTCCCAGTATGAAGGCCCCCGGGCCGCGGATTGAAGATGGCATTCGAGGCAGGGAAATTACCCGAGTGGCAGGTTGCAGGTTGGGCAACGTAGAAAGCCGCCACAGGTGAGGCAAGGTGGCAAGTGCCGGCAATTAGACATCATCGCTCTGCTCAGCTGGATTAGCGATATTACGAGTACGAGTATCGACATCGGAAACCGCTCACAATGGGCCGTTCCATCGAAGCGAATTAGAATGGTAGTGCCAATGGGAGAAGCTCATCTCTTTGTGGGTTCTTCAGCTGGCAGAGTAAGCCATCATGTTGGCCAGAACCAGTTTCAGCGGCTCTAACTAGCGGTTCTTTCGCTCAGATGTCATGCAGCAGGTTCCCGTTACAATTAATAAAGCCAACGAGGCTGAGGAATGCCAATGGCAGAGATTGCATTGATTTCCATTTAATTGCTGGCCACAGAAACGGGCTCCCAGAATGGGTCATTGAGTCGGAGAATATATACAAAGAGGCAGAGAGAGAGAAATGTAAATTGTTGGATCATTATTAATCGGGGAGCTAGTATATCGCATGGACTCCTGCCTGATGGCTTTGTGACACAATTCGACCCAGTTCCGTGGAAATTATGGCCACCATGTAAATTTAGAAAGCCGTTGGAGCAGGCGCTCTCTGGCTCCGGCATGATCCAGCGATTAGACTGCCTGAGATAATGGTAATTAATAGCCGGGAATGTGTGGCAGAGAAATTTTTATTGACTGCAACCAATGGAGAAGGAGGGAATTCCACCATTTAGCTGAGCTCAGGCGAAACTGTGATGGCCAAATTAGTCACAGCCACTTTTCGTGATCGGTTTGATGACATAATTTAGCTACATTAGTTCTTCGCCTAACTAGCTCCGGCGAAAAGCGCATCTTTTTGCCGAGAGAAACACGCAACTCTAATTGGAAACAACACACGCAACTCTTACTTTCATGGCCTGCCTTAAAACGGCAATTAAAATCGAGGCACAAGCATTTTCAATAGAGAAATAACGAGCGCAGCAACTACACTTGCTGCCTGCTGGTCAAAAGTCGCAAATTAGAAAGTGTGGAAACCGCAGTGGACAACGAGGGCGGGGGTGTAACACTAACCAAGTTCTTTGGCAGGCACGCCGAGAAATATCATTGTAATTTTTGTGATATTACTCTCCCCCACAGATGTATGTATTTATTTTCAGTTTCGTTTGCGGTCTCGTGCCGCAGCACGCTCCACTGGCTCCCTGGTCAAAGTCAAAGATGAGAAAGCGGTAAAACGTTCGTGATTTGCGGTAAATGAGCCAGCCAGCTCTCCGTCCCACCTCTTGGACGTCTTCTGTTTCTGGGAGTGGAGTGTATTGGAGTGGCTGGGATTGAAACCAAGGGGCCCTGAGTCATTCTGCGGGCTGCTTTAGCCGGGTTTCTGGACTGTCACGGACTGGTTTCCGGCTGGGCTCGCAGAGAAACTCTGCCAGCCTCAAATATTCACATTTCACTTTCTTTTTGGCCAGAATCAAGCGGAGCCGAGGTTTATTGACCAAGAAAAGTTAAAATTTAATTAAATGCTTAAGCGCGGTACTTGCCGAGTGCTTAACCTTAATGGGAATGCTCGGCGGCTTTCTAGCAAGTTTGTGCCCTAAGTCTTTCGTTTTCGCCGCTGGTCAGCGAACCCTTGGAGGAGGAAGCCCGCTGCCTAACGGCGTCTGAGCTGCATTTTAATCAGAAAAACCCCGGGGAAGGTGGAAATTTTATTGATTGTTCGGTAACAGCATGATGCAATGCAAGGGACAGGTCGACGATCCACTCTAATGGTGAAAACACAAGAGTATTCCAAAACTTTTACTGACCCCAAAATGCAGTGATAAAAACACGAAAGCAGAACAAATTGCACTTGCAATTGCCAGCAGCCATTATGGATATTAGACAGCTGCTCTTGATGGCCAAATTGCAACTGTCATTGCCCGGATTCGCTTTGTTTAAGCCATGAGTGGAGCAGCCACAGCAAACAGAAATCATTGCACATTCTCCACACCGGCGGCAATCGAGAAAACAAATTCAGTTTGACTCGGCCTCGGCCCAAACATAAAATGTATTAAACACGACTTAACAGCTTCAAAGAAAAACTTTCACCTCGCTCAACTTGACAACCAGCAGCAACAACAAAAGCAATAACAACCACCGCAGAAATGCCAAAAGCAACCAAAGTGAATGAAAGCCACATAGAAAGAGCTCGGGCAAATAGGTAAACAAATGGGGAACAATCGTGACCTTTGGCAGGCAATTAAATAAATAAATTCTATATGGGAAATTGGCCAAAAGGCAGGCGTGTTAATTGGCCAGGCCAGAGGCATAGCAGAAGCCAAGGCAGAGGCGAAGACCCACATCGAATCAAGGCCACAGACAAAACGGCCGCAAGGCCTCCTCCACTTCAATGGGAGACAGAGTCAGATCCAAGCTGGATGTGGTTTCGTGGACGAGGGGCACTCGAAAACGTATTTCTTTGGACTGACAGTCGACGGGCGCCCATTTGGGTCAGTGGGCGGCCATCATCGCCGGCTGGCTTCGAAAGAACCAAGCAACCAACTTGGCTGAATGCACATTTCCAGGTGTGTGCCACACCTCAACCCCTTCCCCGCCTTTGCGTCTCCTTTGCTCCCAGGTGCTTTGACAAGTTCCACGCTCCGTCCAGTCGATGGGTTTCTGTTTGCTCTTTCATGCAAAGTTGTTAACTCGTTTAACAGAAATCCTCTTCCCTCCCTTCTCTGCTTGCCGGGTTTATGGCCCGAGTTCTGTTATTTCTTTTGGCCTGACCCAAATATTTGGCTCTGGCCATATAGCCCCAATTTGTTGGACAAACAAAACGTACGGCACGACTCGAGGCCGAATAGTGGCATTCGATCAATTGTCAATAACTTTCTACTGCTGGATTCTAGTCGAATGCATGTCTATATATGCGTTACGGATTATACATATGTATCTGCCTGGATTTAGGGTTTTTGACAGGAAGTGATTGTGCAGTTTTCAGTGAAACTGTAAGCTACCATTGTGGTTACTTTACTTGTTTTCATTTTCAGCTGTTAATAATGTATTTACTTAAATTTACAAGCACGATTAATCATACAAATTTCTCTCATTGTCATCTCTGAATCACTTTCAAATTTCATAAGGCAAAACTAACTTTATGCTTTTATAGAAAATATATTTAATACCCCAAGTGTACCAATTTATTTCCCATTTCAAACCCTTTTTTTCAACTACTGAGCTGGACATTTGCCATTGAACATTTTTTTCACTCACCTGTCGATTTATCCACTGTCTTTCAGTTCCAATGAGTTCGATGCAATTAATCTAAACTTTAATTACAGTTTCGGCCAAGTTGGATTTGGCTCGCCGAACTAAAAAAATTGCAAATTTAAGCACGCGATTGTCAAGCACACAATTCACTTAGAAATTCACCCAAAAATTACACTGGAAAATACACTGCTCTCTCTTTTCTCGACGCTCGATCGATGGGTACTTTCGTTTCGAGAGGCTTCAAAATTTCACTTGGCACTTGGGACTCTTGGCTGCTTTCGTTGTGGCTATTTCGCTGTTGCTGCGACTGCTGCTGGCGTTGTCTGAAACGGCGATCGCCTTGAACCCGGGCTTTTATAGCCTGACCCATTTTGGGCACTTCGCGAGAGGCCTGGAAGCGAGCAGAAGAATTGCAGCCGCGAAGGCATCAAATGTTGGCAGCAAACGTTCGACACCAAGCACGTTGGATGGCGGTGAGAGTGTCGACAACTCAAGAAGTTGCAAACCAAGTTAGGGTTACTTTTGAAAAGATAGTTTTAAGATTTTTAAAAATTATTCAATGGATACGACCCATAAGTATATGGGATTATATATGGGTTCAATTCTACCATTTTCATATTTTTGCGTACCTTTTAAGTAATCTTATCTAGAGACTTCTGGTACTTTCGCATTACATATACTTTAAATACTTGCATGTTGGTTATAGGCTTGAATGCCTAACAGATTTATTTATGTTATGGAACAATATTTGTATAATATTGATATAAGAAGTTTCAATCATTTCCTATTATTTTCTCTGAACAAGTTTGAAGTAAAAATCCGCCAAATGTGCACCTCCGATCGCATGCGTGCCGCGGCGCCTGCGCAGATGGCTGTCGAACATGGTTCGACAACGAACAGGTTGCATGTTACCAATGCTCAGGTGTGATGGATAGCGATCTTTCGCCAGATATTCAGTTGCCGCGTTGTTTACCATTACTCTTAATGCGTTTATGGCCCATTGTTGTCTGTTGTCGTCTGTCTGCTTCCTGCAAATAGGGTGTAAACGGTGGGTGTGGTTATACCTGGGTGATTTACCTGGATGATCTATCAGCCTCAAGGTTTTCCAACTCATTTGCATGTCCGACAGCAGTCGTTGTGTTTACCTTTGACCTTGACTAAGGCAGCTCATCTGCAAAATATATGGAGGATTCACTTGGCCTTCGCTTGATATATTTTCTATTAATTTAGACTGAAAATTAAGTGCAAGGAGCTCTTCAACTGGACACTGAGAAATTGTCTTTAAAAGAATGCTTCAGCTGCCCTTTGCTTGGCCCAATCTCAGAGTTACTTGTAAATTACGAAAGTTCTGGGCTGAGAAAACATTTTAAGGGAT